TTCCCTTCTCCTTCCTTGCGCCAGCGCCATGTGCGCGACCTCCACCCCCTCCCCCTTTTCCCTTTTGCCTTTCCGGTCACCTGAAGCCAGTGTCGTTTCTCTCGCCTCCCGCTGCCGTTCCCATGCCGCTCTCCATCGCCATCACCTCTGTTGTCTCAGGCTAGCGTAGCTAGTGCGGCTATCGCAGGAAGCTTCGATCGCAGCACCCTCAGCCCCTCCTCCCGCATTTTCAGACCGATCAACGGCAAGGAACGCCCTCCGCGCCACCTGAATCTCGCCTCTAGTCCCTACCGTTACAACTATCCGACCCATTCCATGCTCTTCATGCTCTTGGCCTACTTCTCGCACGACAGAAAGAGGAAGGGAGACAGAGAGCTTGCGATAATCAACTCCGGCCACTCGAACGATTCCGGTGATTGACACCAACGAGGTCGGCTGACTATCCCTTCTAATTCCTTTATAAATCATTTGTTTGCTTATTTTGCAATTAATCGGAAAGTTTAGGATATTTTAGTTTTCTTGTGAATAATCTAGTTTATATTGGGAAGTGAGGTAATTGGTATATAGTGTATGAGTTTAAACAAGAAAATCTGGATTTTTCTTGCATGACAAGAGCTAGCTAGATATCAGGTACCATTTTTATGAAGAACTGGAAGGAATCCTTGGGTTGAATTATTAATTTAAGTATAATTGGAACACCATACAAAAAAAACAAATAGATTATTTAATTTATCATGGATCTTAATAAAGAAAGATAAAGACATTTTGGTATGGCAGCAATTACTTTAATTATTGATATGAGCTGTTATCTTGATAAGAAGTCTTGATAAGAAGTTTATTATGTTGTAAACTGAGTTTCTGATTAATTAATATTGGTCATGAATGTATTTGAATTCTCAACAAGTTCAAGTGAGGTCATTAATTATATTATTGCTTAATATTGATAGCAATTTAAGGAATAATAAGCTAAATCATGGAACTTTTAGTTTTGTGTTGTTGAGGAAGGAGGGAGACATGAGTTATGGGCAAATATGATTGAGTTCATTTTTTTGCATTATTCTTTATTTTTTATACTCGAATAGGATAAGAATTTATGAGTTTTAGTTGAAACTTGCTTAGGTTGTTGATGCAGGAGCAATCCTAGTCCTAATTGGATTCCTAGCACAACTAGGATTTTATTTAATTTACTGTTTTATTTTAGATTTGCATTAGTTTTCCATTTCCTTATGGTTTATACCTCGACCAAAGATGATGAGACAAAGGTTTGATAAGGAGCTTATTTGTAGTTAGAGGCTAAGAAACTATTAAATGAAAGTAATTGAAATCATTTAGTGATGTGAGCTTTGTTTATATGCATATGTATAAAATATTTCATTTTGTGAAAATAAGCTAGAAAGGCTAATTATGTATATGCGAAGCAAAGACTAATTAATGATATCATTGGAATATGACTAAAGATCATTGTAAGCTTGTAAAAATTAATGGTTGAATGTCAATATTATTGTTTTAAAAAGAGGATGAGAATTTAATTTGATTGATCGCCCGACGGATGGATTGTGTGGATTGAATGAAAATATAATGAGTATTTGATATCATTTTTATCAGGTAGAAAATCCTATTTTTAGGGGAGGTTTTGCCAGAATTTCGATAGAATCTAGACTAGTTATATTGAATGATTAAGTTAATTGATTTATTTGGGACAATTCTTTAACTTGATATATATAAAATAAAGTTCTTTATTTACTTCAGTTATTTCTTGTGCGTTTATAATTTATTTATATCATCTGAGTTTTTGTCCACCGTTCCTACGAATCAGAATCCAAAAGCTTCATCTCTTCTTCATCACTATGAATAATAAGAAACAGTGTACTACCATATGCATCATGCATAGTTCTATTACCACACAATGTTATAATTATCTATTTAATTTTTACTTATTTAATTTATGATATAAACATTCATTACCTTTATACCTATCTAAATCTATATTTGTGTATATTTGTACATCTGCATAACAATCTTTGTTTATTTAATGTGTTTGCATTTAAATGTGACGTTTGATTAGATGTACTGTGATAATGATATGCTTTGTTTGTGTAAAATTGGGATGAAGTGGGTCACCATTGGATTTGTGAAGGTGGTCTTTGATATCGTTGGCCATGTATGGGGAGATTGGTGCCCCGGTGTGCATCTAATGATATATGGTGGCCGCCTATTAGTATGGAAAAGAAAAGAGAGTATAAAAATAATGAGAGGGCTAGTCAAGACTTTAAGAATTTTAATTTATTGGTTGAAAAAATAAAAATAATATAATTTTTATTGGTTGTAGTATACTATATTATATAAGATACATATTAAATATGGTTAGGATGTATATGTTTTAATTATTATTTTTACTAAATTTCTAATTTGTTTTGTTATAATTACTTCCTACTAGGCATGGTCGGTTCACAGAACCGATGGTTCAAAATTTTTAAAATGTTGAACCGTTGATTTCGGTTCCAATGCTGTTCCGATGAACTGATGGTTTCGATGAACTGATGGTTTTGATGAACTGATGGTTCCGATCACGGTTTCTAGTTATATATGTTTTTTTTTTAAAAAAAAAAAATCGGTTTTAAAATTATATCTTTCTTTCAAAAATATTAATACGAGTTTAAAAAATGTTGATAAATTTTATTTTAAATAAATTTTAGAATGCTCATACTTATATAAGGTTAAAATTAATTAATTTTACAAAATAATCAAATAAGTTATCATAGATCAAATAAGGTTATCACTTTTATTTTGGTTTAAATTGGTTTTATTAAATAAATTAATAAAAAATTTTGGAAAAAATAAGCTTCAAAAGAATTTAATTTTAAACTAGTAAACAATTTAAAGGGTAAAAAAAAAGTTAAAAATACAATATAAGCTTTAGACTAAATATTTTTCTTTTTTTAACCATTTTACTTTTTAGATTTTTAACTTTTAAAGTAAAGTGTATTTAAAAAAAAAAAACTTAAGTAAAGTATCTAGTAAAATATAATTTTAGAGATGTATAAAATAGGCTAAGTGATTATTATTTTGAAAATAAAAATAGAAAATTTTCGATTAAAATCATATCAGAATCGCCGATTCAGGGTTAGTTTACATTCAGATTTTAGCATTCACATGAACCTTAACTGGCCCTTGAACAGCCGATTTCGGTTCAAAATTTTGAACCGATGATGACGGTTCAGTTATAATTCATCTACAGTACGGTTCAATTCTGATTTAAAATGAACCAGTGGCCACGCTTACTTCCTACAAGTAACTTATTCTACAGTTTATCTACCTCCTTATTTGTATGATGTCATTTCTTTTGATTCCAATAATATAAGCAAATAAGCTTGCCATTTTCAAAAAAAAAAAAAAATCTAAAAAAATAATTTATTATTATTTATTAAAGAATATATATTATTATTTATTAAAGAAATATATAATAAAATTTATTGTTTGATATAAAACTACAAAAAATACAATTTTCCTAGAAAATATATATATATATAAATATATATATAAGTATATATATATATATATATAATATATATAAAAATCTATGAAATTATAAGGGAATAACATTGTGTATAGGTTTAGCAACCAATAAAGACATGTATAAAATATGAAATTATAATATAACATGTTATATTAGCAAACCATAAAACATGTTGAGAGAATTATTTTTTCTCAAGAAAAGCAACTATAAATTTAATTATACATTCATAAACTTTAACGAAAAGTAGAAAAAGAAAAAAAAATACTAAAATTATAAACGACACTTTAAACCGATGACTAATATATTAATTATTGTAATAGTTATCTATTTGTGATATATAATATTGATAATATAAATTCAAATGTAATGAGTCAAGTCAAACTAATTTCTACCTTAGTAAAATTTATTATTTATTATTTCGTAACTTATTTTTTTTATATTTTGTGAATGCTCTTAAATTTTTAGTAATATAAAAATTGTTTGTAATATTATAATTTATAATAAATAATTAATTGAAATTATATATAAATTAATAAAAATTATGTATTAAAATTAAATTGCATTTACTTACCATGAGTAAAAATCAACAAGTGCAAATAACATGCAACACACATTCGAGAAAATCAGTAGACAATAAATATATATTCCTAGATTTATATTTCTAATTAGTGTAGAAGTCTATTTTCCTATTTAAGATAACACTCATATGCATATATACATGGTTTCTCATTAATAAGATTCAATGCTCTCATATTTGCTATTTTTATTCCCTCTATATGTCCTCTCTCCTTACTTTTCTACTATTTTATAACTCAAGTATAAATCCCCTCCAATACTGAAAAATAAAATAAATATGATATTACACAATTTTTTTATGAAATCATGAGTTTTTTAATAATTTATTATATTTCTATTTTCTTTATTTTTTTACATTGAATATATTTATGAAATTAGGATGCACATAAAGGTTAATTGAATCCTTTACTTTTGTTTCAAAAGTCCAATTTGATTGAGATTAGCTAAGGTTTAATTGTATGTAAATTTTGAATAATTTAAGATCAACTTATTCCAGTTTTTAATAAAAAAAATGAAAGAAATTGTTATTAATATTTTTAACAATAAAAATTAAAAACATTTAAAAACTAAAAATGATTAAGACGATGTCGTTTTCTTCATGTCTTGCCTCAAATGGAAAACCCTAGACTCCAGCATCTTTTCTGCCTTTCATCTCCCAGCCGACATATATATCTCAAATGGACAAACCCTAAGACCCACCAATCTCTTTCTGCCTTTCCAAATCCTCCCAGCCGACATAATATCATATATCACTATCATCATATACTATACTATTTTATAAATATATAAATATATTGCTTGAGGATAGTGATTGCAGCCAGCAAACCAGACCCCGGTACATAATCTGAACATACTAAGGAAAACCCAATTAACAACACCGGCCCTATATATTTGCTTGAGGATAGTTTTTGCACAGCAAACAGACCCGGTAATATCTGAATTAAAGGAACCCATTAACCCGGCTTCAAACATCATCTCTTTCTTCAACCATTAGTTTAAGTGGTAAGGTTGCGTTCTTGTACGTAAATTGTAAGACCGGTAATATCGCTTTCCGTTCAGAAGCAACTCACTGTAAGTCAATCATTCAATCTTTTTATCTTCTAGTTGCTCTTCAATGCGATGAAATCTGAAACCAACCCAATTGAATCCATTCTTTTGCAAAGCGAAATAGACAATCAATAATAAGATTCAAGATTGAATGACGAATTTGTAGGAGTGAGTTGCGTCTGAATCATTCGATCAAAAAAGTGAAGTGCTTCGTGGAGAGTGATATCGTGTTTTGTTTTGAGGGTTGTTGATTGAGCCCTTTTTTTTTTTTTTTGTATAGTTTTATAATTGCAATTGAGTTGATTTGACTTTGAATTCAAAAACTCAAACGAAGTCACCTGCAATTACAAAATTGTACTAAAAAAAAAAAAAAGTTAAATCTACAATCCTCACAAACAAAATCCATATAGCTCAAGCACTTTCTTTGATTAGATGATTTAGATGCAATTCACCCATGTAATTTCATTATTCAAAACACATTATGTTATGTTATTTGCTTTGCGAAAAAATGGATTCAATTAGGTTGCTGTCAGAATGAATAGTTTGCTTATATGAGAAAGGGTTGGTTACCTCTTTAATAAGAGCATTATATGGAGCCTTTCAATAAAGTGGGCATCTTTGGTTGCTGGCCTGATACTTATAAATTTGGTACTTTGGCATAAAGGTTATGGGTATTTTTCTGGATGTGGTTGCTTGTAGCTCTTAGCTACAAGGTTTATGTTATATGCTTGGCTGTGAGATTTTATTGGGATATGACGGCTAAAGGGATTCAAGAAACTGGTATTTACATACAGCACCACCTCGAATTGTCTTTTCCAGGCAAGATCAGGTATGAGCAGAAGCTATAATGAACAATCTAAGAAATTTATGAAATTGAACAATTTAAGACATTCACGAGATCTCATCAAATTGAGCAATCTATGAAATTTATCTTCAGAGGCAATCATAGTTTAGAAAACTGCAGTTTCAACCTTTTGCCTATAGTGCCCTCATTACCATTGTCTCAATAAGTTTTCTTTATACCAGTTTTCGCCATTTGGTGTCCTGCTTTCTTGATTCATACATTTGCTTTCTAGCAAAATGTGAAAATGTGAAGTGGTATGAGAAGCTATGCCATGTCTTGATTTTTATTATTTATTATTATTGTTGTGGTGGTCATATTATATACAGTTTGTTTTGCATATCTTATTAAGCATTTTCTTTTATAATTCTGAAATTTCATGTCAGCTTATTGAAATTGGGTATATTTATTTGGCGAATGTAAAGAGAAAGTTTGAACTTTATGATTTATTTAACAATTATTTTTTGTTTATTAGTTTTGAACGTCAAACTTCAAAGATGAGTAAATATGGATTCAATGAACTCTTGAATTAGCTTTTCAAGTAGTGAAAAGGCTTAATTAAAAGAAGACAATATATCAAAGAAATGTTCAATAGGAAATGTTCTAAGCAAAACGAAATTATAAATTTCTAATTCAACTTTAAGCTAGGATGCATTAATTAGTGTAATATGCAAATAAATAATATGAAAAAGAAAAAGAAATAATTATCTTTGAAAAGGGCTAATTCACTTTCATAGCTTAAATTTTTTTTTTTTGGAAAAATTATAGTCGTGCAGCTAAAAGTAAAAGCCGAAATCATTATTTGTTCAAACTGTTACCTAATACATGATAACTATCAATATTTGATCCCTTAATAGAAGGAAAATGGCTGCAGATAAATATCTCCCAGTCTCAATGTTATTAGCTCTTTATTTTGACCAAAAAGGGAAAGCATGCAAATAATTAAAGAATAAATCAAATATTGATATATGTATATTTCACTCTATTTGTCCCATAAGAATAAATAGTTCTACTTTGAATTTCACATAAATTTTAAAAATATAGTTAATATGGTCAAATAATAATTTTTACTTATTTTCCTAATACTATTCGTATGATATATTTCTTAAATTTCTAAATTAAGAATAGAAATATTCAGGTTTTAATTAGTTATTTATTTCAAGATTTTGATTAACAGTATTAATAAATTATTGATAAAGATGCATATTAAAATATGATACAATGAAACCAAGATGTTCTTGCACTCCATCAACCCATTAATGTTAAGAGAAAAAGTTTGAGGATGAACATTGTCCTTATTGCTAAATAGTCTTGATACTTGTGATTGATTTTGATCTGAAGTGTACTATAGATGTGCTCCATAACAGCTAGTAGGTTCAATTCAAGAAATTCTGCAAATGTATTCAATGGTTGAAATGTTTAAAATATCAAAATTAAAACTCTATAAATAAGTTTAGACTAAGTGGGCCTTTGATACCCCTCTCTCTCTTCCCTGCTAATGTGTTGCTATACATTTTGAGCCCTTCGATTTTTAATACCAAGTCCTGAATGTTGCTGAGGTGGAGTCTGGATTACTCTCGCAAATGCATAGGAATCCTCATTTCTCTCTGGTATATGTAGAAATTTACATGTATTTCTAGAGTAGTTTTCTACATTTTTTATTGTTGATTAGTATGCTTGTATATATAGAAAATTGATTAATAGTCCCTTTTTTTTCTGCTAAGAACTCATGACTTCGAATAATCAGTTGGAGTTGTAGAACATTATCCACTTTGCATTTTATTTTCTCCGTGGCATTTCCATTAAAAGACGACTTTTTAAGGCACATCAACTTCATTTCTCATGCAACATAACTTTTTTTTTTTTTTTTTTTTTTTTCATTTCTCGCCTCTCTCGGTAATCATCGTAGAACAATTGTTTTATACAATTTCGGATATTATATCTAGAGTAGATTTTCATACATTTTTGTTCAATTGTTGATTAGTATGTCTTGTATATATAGAAATCTTGATTTATACTAGTCGCGGTTTTTTTTCTGCCTCAAGAACTCAATGACTTCGTAATAAATCAGTATGGAAGTTGTTAGAACATTATCAACACATGATATGCATTTTAATTTATATCTCCCGTGAGGCATTTCCCATTAAGAAGTAGCTATGTATATATACATCAACTACTTTCTCATGGAACATAACTTTTTTCTCTTTTCTTTTCTTTTTTATTTTCCTTTGGCAAAAGTCTGTTTAGCTTTGAGTCCCTATAGCGCCCCCAACTTCGAGCGCAGATTGGGTTTTTTTTTTTTTTTTTTTTTTTCACTTTGCAAAGTCTGTTTAGCTTTGAGTCCTATGCGCCCCCAACTGAGCGCTGAGGGAAAGATCCAAAGCACGGAGTCTAATCTAGTCGGACTCATTGATCGGTTCATCACGGAAACTGGGAGGAATTTCTTACGGTTCCTTTTTTTGTGTTGGATTATAATTATTGCTCGGTTTAGTGCTTATGTGTGTCGGGTTGGCTCTTTGGAGCGCTTTGACAGTGTGTGATGTGTTAGAGTCGCCACTTTAATTTATTTTTATTTCAGGAAAAGATTAAGAAAAAAAATCGTGATGGACTTCATTTTCAGTTTGTCTTTTAGGAAAAAAATACACTAGCTTGGATTTATGGGGTTGGGGGATTAGATTTTCAGCTTCTTTCAAAATGAATTGACGACTTGAGTTTTCATTAAGAAACCAAAATAAAATTTATGTGGATGGCAGTTAGAAGATGCATGATCATACTAAGATGCATTAAAAGTAATAAATGAATAAATGGTTGTAATTCAGAGGGAAGCCCGACTCTAACCTCATTTATCGAGATATAGTCTTAGTTCGGTCAGGCTTTCTACTTAGGTTGAAATCTTTAAGTACTTTCATACCTCGTTTGTATGAGGATCAAAACGCATGAAGTTCTACCATCGATTAGGATGGTAGGGTTTGAGGGTGCCACTTGTGGAGTGGGCTTATAGGTTGCTGGACAAACTAGGGTTTTGGTTAAAAACTGATTTTGACGGTTTTGCTCGATGGACCGGGCTTTGTGTGTCGGACGGACCCGACTTTATATGCTAGATGGATTGGGCTTAAAACATTTTGAATGCCGGATGAACCAGGCTTGACGGTTTATAATGTGATAGACAGACCGAACTTAATTGACAAAGATTGAGTTTAGGTATACCTAGGGTGTGTCACGCGATCGGATCGGAGCTCCACAGTGATCAACGACCAAAGAGGTCGAGTCTTGCTCCAAGTATAGTAGACGTAGGACGCGATGACCCAAAATTAGTCATATATATATATAAGTATAGTAGACGTAGGACGAGATGACCCAAAAATTAGTCAATATATTATATATAAATAATATATATATATATATATTAAAATAAAACTTTGGTCTAAGAGGGAAAACTTGAAATGATCGACTTTTAAAACCAAGTCGGGCCTTAACTCTAAACTAAGAAGAGCAAGGCCGGATTTTATAGATGGATGCATATTAAATAACTTTGGTCTAAGAGGGAAAGTTGAAATGATCGACTTTTGAAAACCAAGTCGGGCCTTAACTCTACTAAGAAGAGCAAGGCCGGATTTTATAGATGGAGCCCGAGCTGGGAGAAATAGAGTCGTTGAAGCTTGAGAAGCGCTCAATCAAGCAACAAGAGGTGTCTGAAATGAGGGGGAGTGCTTTATTTATAGATGGAGCCCGAGCTGGTCAGTACCGAGCATGTCAGCGTCGTACTGACCATGTTAGCGCCGGTACTAGTGATGGTTGCTTGGCAGCGCTTAATATCGGTGGGCAGGTGATCGGTACTGTCGCTGGACAGGTCGGTGCCGATTAGGGCAAATTATTGCCCTGAGCTTTTAGCTTGATTTTTGGATTTTCGAGCTTTCGGGAGTCCGTTTGAGGCCCAAACGATGTTTGATCGAGTTGATTGTCTCACCGTTGGAACCGTAGTGGAACTTCCTAGAGCCTGGTGCTAAAATCATAGTCAACAGTTTGTCCCTTCCTCAAGATTGGAGCTAATCTTGGTTCGAACTTTCGAACCCCAATTTCAGCACTTCTGGTTAGTATTTTGGTCTGAAAATCATACCTTGCATATTGTGGCGATGTCTTGGAACATCTTGTGAAAATCTCGTCTGATTTTGATAATATTTTTTCAGAATCAGTTTGATTCGGCTAATTTTTTGGGTCTTTTGTAAAAGCTCGTCACATAGGAGGATAAAACTTTGTTTGGAAATCTGTCATGGTCGAGTAGGTTGAAACCGTGCGAGATTCTGAGTCCGGATGATTCCCAAAAAGTTTGATCTTTCAGGGGAGGGGGAGGCTTGTCCTCAAGGGGGGGGTGTGGAGCCTCAGTTGCTCATGCCACTCTCTTCTCCCTTTCTTGCTTTCTTACTTTACTTTGAGAAACCACTTTCTTGCCAAAACTCTTGTGAAATGAACCGTCATCACCAATGACGTCCTATTCCCCGCTCAACGAGTTTGAGCAAAGTGGGGACACTTCTCCAATTTAGGGCCCATCTAGCGTAGTGAGCAAGATCAAGTCCCTCCTCTACCTTCAGTGTCGAGGTCCAGCCAGAGGGCTGCACTCCTCTTGTGCCGGATCTATTATCCGAGAGCATGCAGCGCATCCGATTCATTGCACCGCATGGCACTATCATTTATCCTATTTCAAAGGATATTTTGAATCACTAGCCCGAGTATCCCAAGGGTATGCTGGTATCTTTCTTTTCTCTTTGCTTGTTCAATTCTTATTACTTATGATTTACTAATCTTGAACTTTGTGTTTAATCATGTAGCCTCCTCTTGGTTGATGTGAGGGGGTGATCGTCCAGTTTGGTCAGCTCCGAGGGACACTGTATGAGATTCTGACCCGAGTGAGCTCTCTGAGGAGCCAGGTCAAAGCGCTGCGATAGGAGCTCTGACGCCCTTGATGCCTCCGGCTGCTGCTCTTTATTTTTTCTGGTTTTAGAATAGGCCTTTAGTTTTAGGCTCTTGGTAGTCTATGTACCAATTTTGAAGCATTCTTTTGGGTTAATTCACCTTTAGTTGTGGAATCTTATTTTGCAAAAACTTGGCCATTTTATTTATCAAGCTATTGAATTTTATTTTCGCATGTCTGATCTACTTGCCTTTATTATTCTACTCTGATTGCACTGTCTCGAACTTGCACTGATTGCCTGTTTTCAACTGACTGCTTGAACCATAATTTGCATTGATTGCTTGTTTTGAATATAGTTGCACTGACTAGACTAAATTGAATGTGATTGCACTGGATGCTTGAATTATTTTGATTCTTGGCACTGATTGCTCTGTTATTCTAACTTTGGCACTAACTGCCTTGAATTGACTATGGCACTGATTCCCTTGATTCTGATTGTAACTTGTGCTGGTTGTCTGACTTTTTTGTCTTATGCATTGGTTTGCGTTGGATTCTTGACTTTTGCAATGATTGCCTTGATTTTTGATTTTTGCATCGATTGCCCCGTTTATTCGGACCTTGGCACTGATTGTCCTGATTTGACTGTGATTGCACTAATCATTCTGACTTGGCACTGATTGCCCTGATTTGAACTCTAACTGCACTGAATTGCAATTCTGACCTTAGCACTGATTGCCTTGATTATTTTGGCTTTGGCACTGACTGCTTTGTTTTGAATTGCGATTGCATCAACTGCCTGTTTTGCACTGAATGTAATGATTTGTAGAAAAGTCTGCATTGATTACCTGATTTTGAGCTGAAAGTACTGTTTTGAAGTGATATCTGCACTGATTGCCTGATTTTCTGATCTTGGCATTGACTGCCTGTTTTCTGAGCTTGCATTAACTGCCTGTTTCACCTGTGATTGCACTGATCGCACTGATTTTTTGATTTTTTTGCACTGATTGCCCTGATCTGAACTTGCACCGATTTGCACTGATTCTTCTAACTCTTGGCACTGACTGCCCTGTTGTTTACTGATTTTGGCACTGATTGCCTGTTCCTGATTGTAACTTGCACTAATTGCCTTTTCATCTTCATTTTGGCTTGATTGCGCTATTCTTCACTGATTTTGGCATTGATTTCCTTGATTACTCTGACTTGGCACTGATTGCCCTATTTTTTTGATTTCGGCACTGACTGACCTATTTTTTTATTTCAACTGTGATTGCCTTGACTGTTCTGATTTTGGCATTGACTGCCATAATTATCTGATTTTTGAACTAAAAGTCATGGTTAGTAGATAAAATAACATGCATGATGCATGATGGTCAATTCTGAGCTTTAGCTCGACTTCTGAGTAAATGCTTTGAAAATTTTCATGCCCAGTTTGCCAAAAATGATTTTGAGCTTGAATACCCGGCTTTGATGAAAATTCATTTAATTTGTGATCTGAAAATCTGGCTTTTGATGAGAGTTTACTAATTTGTGGTCTCAACATCCGGCTTTTGTTGAAAACTTATTTAATTTATGTTCGAAAATTGTATTTTTCACTGTTGTTTTAAAGATATTTGTCAATTTTTCTGAAAAAATGGAGGATTTTTAGAAAAATTCAAATTTCCTTGAAATGAGGCCGATTGTTACTAGCTGGTCCCTGTCAATATCGATGATGTCCTTGCTGGAACCAGCGGATGAGCCACAGACAGTCCTTCCTGATACTGGCACTAGGCTGATCGGTATTGATAGCCTGCGCTGGCTAGGGGTTAGAGTAATTTATATACCTCATTTGTGTCGAGAAAACGACATCGTTTTGCACCCTAGAACCTGATTTTTCTGAAATTTCAAGCACTTGTTGAAAAGATGGAGCCATTTATCAGTCATGGCATGCAATTGTGGACCAAGAAATTGGAGAAGGTTGAGAAAGTTAATTTAAACCGATATGACTTCTTTAGTGACTTTGAGAGGCTTGCCAGTTAATCGAGCCTTTTTAGATGCTTGTTTACATTAGTGGGATCCATAAGCTCATGCTTTCCGGTTTGGCACCCACTATATGAGGAGATGTGCCTGACCTATGAGGAGTTTGCGGCACTTTTGGATAGTGACTCACAAAGGGCTTAGGTTTTGAATAATGACTGTTTGCATAATGATTGTTTGCATATGAATGCTATTTAGGATTTAGGGAGAGGGGACAAAGTCTGATCTTGCATGCTTTTTAGGAAAAGGCTTAAGTGTTTAGGCTAGGTACAACTGAATCTCTTTGGTTTTCTGAAAGTTTCGCATGTGAAAAGGCTTAAATGTTTAGGCTAGATACAATTGAATCTCTTTGTTTTTCTGAAAGTTTTGCATGTGAATGCCTGTTTGATTTCTATATTCTGGTGCAATGTTTGATCTTGTAGGTTTGGCTGAGGGATCATTTGAGGGTGGTTGAGCTACCACGATCTCGCCCATATGAGCTGTCTAAGCGAGTCGTGGTGAGGCTCGAGTCTAAGGATGAGCAGTTGTAGTGGCTACTGGCACTAAGGCAAGATCAGATTTTATGGAGGTATGATTGATATGATATTATGAGATTTTTGGTTTGTTCAGTTGAGTTTCAGATGGCTTATCTGTTAGGCATGGACCATGTCACGTTTTATCTGGGCTCTCGGCTGATGAGGCAGATGGGGCATACACAGGGGTTACCACTAGCCGGTGCCCTTTTTGAGGATACATTGATTTCCTCTTGGGTCACTGTGGCTATTCGGGGTAGCTGGACTAGGGGAGCACATGTGGTTGAGGCTGGAGTTTCTAAGGGCAGGACTGCTGCTTATGAAGTTTGGTGCATAGCTGAGCATAGTGGCTAGGATAGAGAGCATAGAGCGATTTTGACTCTATAGATTAACGCTAGACTCTAGGCGACTACTAAGACTATCCTAGACTCTACCCGACAAACTAACCCAGAGGACTGACTCATTGTCACGTTTGTAATCTGGGCTCTCCGGCTGATAGAGGCAGATGGGCCATACTTACCAGGGTCTTGCCATCTAGCCGGTGCCAGCTTATTTGAGGATACAAGTTGATTTTCCTCTGGGTCACGTGTGGCTAGTTCGGTTGGAGTATTGGTAATTTCTAACCGCCTGGACCTAGGGGATTTGCACATGTCGGTTGAGGCGCTGGATGTTTGAGCACATGTGGTTGAGGCTGGAGTTTCTAAGGGCAGGACTGCTGCTTATGAAGTTTGGTGCATAGCTGAGCATAGTGGCTAGGATAGAGAGCATAGAGCGATTTTGACTCTATAGATTAACGCTAGACTCTAGGCGACTACTAAGACTATCCTAGACTCTACCCGACAAACTAACCCAGAGGACTCTGACGACTTGAGGGACATCCATCCGAAACCATGTAGACGGGCTACCTAGACCTTCGGTGCATGCGGATCTTATTGTTATAGTGTAGGACTTTTGACTTTTGATTTTTGAGTTGAGCTACCACGATCTCGCCCATATGAGCTGTCTAAGCGAGTCGTGGTGAGGCTCGAGTCTAAGGATGAGCAGTTGTAGTGGCTACTGGCACTAAGGCAAGATCAGATTTTATGGAGGTATGATTGATATGATATTATGAGATTTTTGGTTTGTTCAGTTGAGTTTCAGATGGCTTATCTGTTAGGCATGGACCATGTCACGTTTTATCTGGGCTCTCGGCTGATGAGGCAGATGGGGCATTCACAGGGGTTACCACTAGCCGGTGCCCTTTTTGAGGATACATTGATTTCCTCTTGGGTCACTGTGGCTATTCGGGGTAGCTGGACTAGGGGAGCACATGTGGTTGAGGCTGGAGTTTACTGGCACTAAGGCAAGATCAGATTTTATGGAGGTATGATTGATATGATATTATGAGATTTTTGGTTTGTTCAGTTGAGTTTCAGATGGCTTATCTGTTAGGCATGGACCATGTCACGTTTTATCTGGGCTCTCGGCTGATGAGGCAGATGGGGCATTCACAGGGGTTACCACTAGCCGGTGCCCTTTTTGAGGATACATTGATTTCCTCTTGGGTCACTGTGGCTATTCGGGGTAGCTGGACTAGGGGAGCACATGTGGTTGAGGCTGGAGTTTCTAAGGGCAGGACTGCTGCTTATGAAGTTTGGTGCATAGCTGAGCATAGTGGCTAGGATAGAGAGCATAGAGCGATTTTGACTCTATAGATTAACTCTAGACTCTAGGCGACTACTAAGACTATCCTAGACTCTACCCGACAAACTAACCCAGAGGACTTTGACGACTTGAGGGACATCCATCCGAAACCATGTAGACGGGCCACCTAGACCTTCGGTGCATGCGGATCTTATTTTTATAGTGTAGGACTTTTGACTTTTGATTTTTGCCGCAACCCATATTTTTGTGGGGTTTTTGAGATAGATTACTGATCCATGATATAGAGGGTATAGTTGACACACCGGATATTTTGACACTTTGGATAGTGGACACAGATAGTTGACACATAGATACGTGACAGAGATAAATGCCTAGAAGATAAGGCTTTTGTGATTTGCTTTTTACATAACTTGTACTGATTTTAGAGATATGTAAAAAAAGAATCATTATGATATTTTTGATTGAAAAGGAAATTCAATTTTATCCTTCATGAGATTGCCACTTTTAAACCTTAATTTTTGTCTAAACCACCGTTGTGGGTTTTCGATTCAGTAGGCTGCCCTAACTTTTGCCTAAGCTGCCCTTTCGGATTTTTAACTTAATGGACGTGTACTGATTTTGCCTAAGGTGCTTGTCCTTGCGGGTTTGCATCATTGCATAGTACTTTTTTATGATTTCTTTGTCATAGCAATTCTTTAAGCTCTCAATATACGCATTATAGTTATTGAAAGAACATGGAGTCTAGAGAGAGAAGATAAGGTGACAAAGTATTACAAAGACAAAGAGGCTTCAGAGTTAAGCAAGGATAGAATCTCCTCCTTTTATTTCTGTAATTTTCCTGACATCGAAGATGCATCAAGCTTAATAAAGAAAGTATTTCAAAGATTTGGCAGAGTGGTAGACCAGTACATTTCTGTGAAAAAAAATAAAAATAAACAGGGATCCGACAAATAATGGACAAAGTGTAATATACAACTATAGAAAGCAAAATCTTAAAAAGACAAATATTATCGAGATTCTTCTAAAACATGTTTTCTCCAATAAATATTGCGACAATGTGTGAAC